GATTACGACAAATCAGAGCTTCAGAACAGAAGTAACAACGATGAACTATAAGAACAAAGAGGAATGACAGCGGTAAGAGAGACCTCAAGGGAAAGACCGGGGTTGCTTGGAAATGGCCGACGCGGAATAATGAATCCTAATCTCATCCACAAGGGGTTTATATATAGGGCCGCCACATGGGTTAGGAATCATGAACGAACAGGGTAAACGCGGCTAACATGTTGGCACCGAACACGATCAGCGTTCAGTTCAATCAGAAGGCGATCAATCAGAAGGCATGTGAAAATGGGTAATAACGTGATATCTTCACTACTCTACCACTTGGTTTCGATCATAAATGTGACTCCGCCCCATATGGATTGTTCAGAAAAAAAAGAAATTTAGAAAGAGTGACACATGACTGTTAATAAAGCCTAATATATTGGGATGGTAAGAAAGTCCTGAGCCGATTTTTCGAAAGCTCCAGAACTTTCGCTTATTGATCGATACCTAGAATCTGCTACGTGATAGACTATCGCTGTCGATCATACTTCTCCGCAGTAGGTATATATTGCCGGGTTGCCTTCTTTAACTTTAATCATGATGTCGATTCCACAAGAGCACTTTCGAGCGATCATCTTCAATGAATGGCGCTGCGGCACAGGAGCAGTGGGAACCGTCAACATTATCAGCATCGCATTGGGAAGGGACACCACTTCCATCATCAGTGCCAAGCTCTGGTTCGCAGGCTTCGAGGAGGAGACACGGCTTTCAAAGAAAAGACAAGGTTGGGAAGCCCACAAAAGGTAGAAGACTCCACCGTTCTCGGCGCTGTCGAAGAGGATCCGGAGGTTAGCACCCGCAGCCTTGTGATAAGACTCGGGTGCACCCATCCCACAGTCCTCGGTCCCCTCCACGCCCTCGCCACAGGAAAGTGCCGACTCGATGGATCCCCTTAGACCGACGTCATAGTCGGCGACGGACCAAGCGATGGAGCGATCGCGATCGCTCCATCGCTTGTCCGTCGCTTGCCAATCGCTCTCGGTCGAGCGATTGGCAAGCGATTGCGCAATCGCGCAAAGTGCACAAGCGACGGGCGATTGGCCCCGCCCCCAGTCAATGCAGTCGGCTGCGGTATCGATCGAGCAGAGCCATTGCCCGTCGCTTGTGCACTTTGCAAGCGATTGCGCAATCGCTTGCCAATCGCTCGACCGAAGAGCGATTGGCAAGCGACGGACAAGCGATGGAGCGATCGCGATCGCTCCATCGCTTGGTCCGTCGCCGACTATGACGTCGGTCTTATGCTTGACGATATCACGAGGACGCGATACCCATTTGTCATGTGCTCTTATATTGTCCGCAACGAATAAGGAGTCTTTTCGGGATAGCATGATTTAGCGAGACGATGGAGAAATGGGGTCCTCTGACGATTCTTAACAAGCACAGTGCCGTGGAGTGCATTCCCTCAAGAGATAAGCCTTGCCGACTACATGCAAGGCAAGGACGCTGCACCCCAAAGTTCTGCCTTCTTCAAGCGAAAAACTGCGAAGAGGTCCGAACAATTACGGAACGCCACCATGAGGTATAGCGTGCGGAAGGTTCGCGCTTTCGCGCCACCACGGCAGTCTCATAGACTAGCGATGCCTCAGATAGGAGTAAATATTTAAAAGAGATGAGAGTGAAGCCAGTTGAAATGCCCGGAGGCGGGCCTACAGAACCCGCCCTCAAATGGTCCGCGCTTAGGTTGTAGTAGTCTGGTTTAGAGGTGGGCCTGTGCGGACCCAAGTACACACACTACCGTCCTTTTAGGCGCAATAACCTAGATCCATTCAATAGCTAGTGAGCTTTATAATTCCCTTGAAATCTCATCAATAATTATAGAGCGCACTTGTCCGTTAACCCTTTGACGACAACGCGCATTTGCACGCAGCGTGCTTGTGGGACCACGCCTCTTGTTGGAGCGCCCAACTTCCCCGCAATATGGGCCAAAATTGTCTCTACAAGCAGATTTTAGGTCAAAATTTTAACTCTGGCAATACGCGAAATAGGCACCTGCGGCCGTAAAGCTTCGTGATCATTTATGGCTGTAATTAGAACGGAAGTTTGTAAAGAGAAATTGGATTTCAAAGAGATGGTAGTGAAAACTCTATAAGTTCATATGTGCACAGTAGAATTTTTTGATATAGTTCGAACTCCTCCTTGTGTCTAAGGCTATGAAAAGACGTAGAGGTCTTGACCAGAATTCACCTTAAGCTTAATAATGTAGAACACTAGTTATATGTCGCCGAGCGAAGTGCCACATTTTAAAATTTCATATAAATTAGCTAGTATCAAACATTTCTGTAAAATATGCTAAACATAGACATAACGAGCTTTGCTTATAATTACTGACATGTTGAAAATGTTTCAAATGCGTAAAGAAGAAAATTTTAGGGTGGCACCCACCATTGGGTGCCATTGTCGCCAAAGGGTTAAGCAAGAGGTGCGGGTTTAAGTTCGGTCTGCGGCTGAAAGTTTTATTCACAGCCCAGCATTCTTCTGGAACTTCTCAACAATATTTAACAACTAACATCTAATATTATTATCAACAAGTTTGAGTTTGAAAATATTGAGAAGTTTAGTACATGAAAAAAACCTCCTCAATCTAAATAAATAGTTCCTCCGTAATAGTCGCGTGGTGCATTACGTTAGACATAGACCGTAAGCCATCTGTTCCAAGGCAGTGCGATACTTATCGTTGAGTATTGAATTTCGCAGCTGTGTCAAAGAATTTCAGAGTGTGGGGTACTAGAATCCAACACTCCACATGTTCTACTGCTTCAACAGCAGTCAATGGATGCTACGGATTTACAGAGAAAACTTTACAAGGAAAAACTAGTTTATTTATTCCTACTTTGCACGTTGATATTGATACTTTGCGGATCACTCTCATACATTCAACCCGTTCATGAACCAAAAGCATGTGTACAGTGTAATGAATGAAAATTAGTTCTATTGCTCACCGGAAATGTGAGAATCCACAATATAGAATCTAGGCTTAAGTCAAGTAGAGGGGTATCATCCATGGGTTCCTACTTCAGGTCAATTTTTCTCATGAACCAGTGCGACTACACATTGGATACCGTAATAAGGCGGTCTACTTTTCAGAGCTTAAGAAAAGTGGGCAAAACACTTTTGTCCTTCACAATGACGTTCACAACGAACATTACGAAAATATTTTGACAACTATGAAAGACCGGACTTCATAGCTTCCAAGAGCTCGGCAAACTTCTCAGAATGTCAACTCTAATCATATGTGATGAAACGGCAGGCAGAGGAGGCTAATGGATGGCATATAGCTAAAGCCTATGATCCGAACAGCCCTAGACATAAGCTTATGATCACAATGTACCAACTTCTGCGTTCACTGTTAGGAATTGCTTTTTTGCATCTACACCGCAGACTGTCTCAACTAATCATGTTCTCATGATTCATTCAAACTTGTGTATGAAAATAACTTCCAAGTTACTAAATAGTACAACGTTGTCTAATGTGCTCATGACTACATAGTTTTCATTTCAGATGTTGTCTGCTGTGTTGTGCATTGAGACATCGCATTACGTAGCATTCGTACGGTCGCTCTCTGGGCGCTGGTTATTCTTTGACTCGATGGCTGATCGAGAGGGTTTAAGTGATGGTTTCAACGTGCCTCAGGTATGAGCTCGCTCTTTTAATACATTATAGGCTTTGTAATTTAGCGTGCATACAACATTGCCAATACCTCAATTGAAACTTCCATTCTCTACCCTTTTTGATTACATTAATTAACACATTGCAAGGGAACCGGAATGCCTTCATTTCTTCGAAAAATACAATCAGATGATATGACGAGATGCCCTGTGCCATCCAGTGACTGCACACGTGTAGAAAGCTCTTCTGACTAATTCTTCGGTGTCGTGTTTTCTGACTCCTTGGCCTTGTCGTCCTTTTCGTTGGTAGCGACTTGCATCTCGGCTTCCTTCGCTTCACGTGCTCTAAAAGCCCACGTACTAGCACTTGAAAGTAACTGGCGAAACTTTAAACTTGGTTGAACTTACTGTTTTCCTTTGTCTGGGCATCTTTTGCGATGCTTTGTGCAGTGGTGATGACGAAGGTGATGCCCACATCGAGTAGGACGAGGGCGCTTCTCCTCGTGTTTGCGCTCAGAACTACTAGGACGTTTTCGATCACGAGAGCGAGATCGCCGCCGCGTAGATCTGGAAGCTGGGACTGGTTGTGGTGTAAACAAATTCCGATGTTAACGTGGTTCCGTGATACATTCGATGGTCACAGGTCGAATGACAGTAAAAGCACGTGCTTTCTTGACTCACCGATCAGTGCCTGTTCGCTTGGATCTCGATTCGTACGCGACTCAGGCGCCTCCTCATACTCTGGACACTTAAAGACCTTAAAGGCCTTCTTATTCATGCTATGGTCGCCCTTGTTGGTGAAGGTCTGTCCGCTACACGTGCGCAAATGAAATAAAAATCTCTACTTCAGGTCGGAAAGTACCTCTACCATCACAATCTGGCCACGTTATACCCTGAACCACATGATATCGTAAGCGCTTCATTTCGCCTTACCTAATGAAAGAGTACGAATTAGAATCACGCCTAGACCTGTGGAATTTCAGGAAATGTACATCCGTCAAAACATTTATACCTGCGACTATCAAGAGACAGTTAATAGGATTTACGATTGGCCTGCAGCCGATGCCAAGCATGGCTACCCCACTCCGAAATTAGAAAGAAAATCAATGGAAGATGAATAGAAAAACACGGCTGAAGATTGTACTCAGTTATTGTTTTATGAAATCTGTCGTGTTGTATAATTTTCGAGTTATTTGAAGAAAAAATGAATTTTGTTACTAATCTGATGTGGTACATACATGTTGACCGCGTGCAGGCAAAACTTGTGGCTAAGATAAATCACTACTTTCTGCAGCGCAGTGCATGGAGATCACGAAAAAGAGGGTAGTTAGAAAATTCCTACAAGTTTCTCGTGTAAGGTATAAAAACGGCTTCATATACAAACGAAAACTGCTGGCCAAATTCTTGGCTCTGAGGCCTTGTGATTCTCTCGAAATTATAAACGACAGCTCCATTAGAACTTTTATATTTACATTCGTTGGTGAGCTAAACTTCTGAGACAGCTCACTCTCGAGGAAGTGCACTTTCCTTCAAACTTCCTCGAACCCTTTGATTTTTAAGAAGCATAGTTACTTTGGTAAAGATTTATTGACACGTTGTTAAGGAGCAATACAGAGCGCCTCTTCTACACTGCAAGTGCAGCCGGAACACTTACAGTCTTCGTTTGTTTTGCATGGTTCTCCCTTTTCGTATATCTGTGATCCAAGCCAGTTTCCTCTGAAAGTCGGCTTTCAAAGAAAAGTTATAGGGATGAGAAACAGCTTAGGCGTACTTACGCGGGATTGTACTCGCATCCCACGAATGTCATCCATGAGCACCACTCCACAGCACACCCGATTTTGTTACTCGACTGCCACACAACCCATACCAACACGAGTTCTCAGCATTTGATTACCGGTGCACTGGATTCTTTGCATGCTAAGATGTGAGCGGTGAAGGAATGGTTGGGTATCGACAAAATACAGAAGTTAGCTAAAATTATGAAACAAACTGGAGGAGTTCGTGCTGTTCTGAAGAAGAGATATTTGTGAGTTGCCATCTTCATTCCCAATGATCTTTTTTCTGAGTAATGAAATGTGTTAAACATGTCATGTTTATGCTTTTCCATTTGTAAAGTTAGCAGGTTTTTATCAGCCCTTACTACAAAATTCTTTGATCTTCTCTCATTGCACAATGGGATGTCACACGCGCAGGGACTCCTGTTGGAGAAGACAAATTTGGTAACAAATACTACGAGGACAACTGCTATTTCCGCGACCTATCGCAGGTTTCGCTGCTTTTCGCGATTTTGGCGATTTTCGCGATTTACGCGACGGGTCACGGAAATCACAAGTGCCCGATCAATACTGCAAGGTGTTCTCCAATCCCGCCGCCACTTCTGCTTGATAGTGATGGCTGAATGACGACTGCTCATGATTCCACTTGTTTCATATTCAGTGTTTCAAATGTTCAAATGGGTACTTGCAATTTTTGCGATCGTCGCAGGTTTCGCGCAAATCGCATTGCGAAGCGCGAAAATGTCGCTTTCGGTCCTAAGTACCCACACGCGTCTTCTACAATGCTTCACAAAAATTGGCAATATTTCATTGTATTTGATTTTGGCTTTCATAAAGTGAATGCTTCACTCTACATCCATTACCTTCAGGTCATTAGCTTCACAGAATATCAAGCAGTTGTATCCTGCTAAGTACGACTGGAAGACGGAGATGAAGAAGCTCAATAGGTTGGTAGTCTTGCTGTTGGCTTTCATAAACCGTGAATAGCTTCACTCTACATCCATTACCTTCAGGTCATTAGCTTCACAGAGTATCAAGCAGTTATATCCTGCTAAGTACGATTGGAAGACGGAGGTGAAGAAGCCCAATAGGTTGGTAGTCTTGCTGTTGTTTCCATTTCTATAGATGGGCGCGCAATGCTCGTCTTGCACACATCCTATGGGGTCGAATCCTATCTATAGCAGCTTTGCGGGATCAATTAAGAGGGTCAAGCATATGTAGAAGCATGCCATGGAAGAAAAAATGTGGGCATTGGGCTCCTACATTCGACCTCTAATTGAATTATGCTGACATATTGATTGCGAAGTCATGTGTACAATGGCTTCGGGACCAGTCGATGTGCAGTTCAGTGGTCACCTCCCAGGCCGATGTCAGACTTTGCAAATCCAGCGATTTGCTAGCGAATCGCTGGATTCGCAAAGTCTGACATCGGCTCAACGAGTCTGAAAACAAACAGTTGGCTCACAGTAGATTAGTTGGTTGAACTGAGCGGAATTCTTCGCAGATTTGGCTTTGATCTTGTGCGCGCTATTCAAGAAAGTGTATTATTTTCGAATCAGCTGGACCCAAAAAGTCTTATTGGAAATTCAAAATCAGTAGTTAATGGTGTGACACGGAAGACGACTACGCGACATATCTTTAAAAATGTGGCAGATTTGAACGATTAATTTGTAATTTTCCAACGCATTTTATGTTGTGGAGTTACGAGGGATAGAGTATCCAGAGCTGCATGTATAGGCAAACAATCTTCATGGATGAATTCCACTTCTTCAAAGCAATCTCTTTTTTTGTAGGAGCGTAGTGGTGGCTTTCCTTGACCTGCTCGACATTCTTGTTCGTTGTCCAGATCATCCCGAAAGGAACGAGAAAATCAACGACATACAAACGATTTTCATAAATATGCATCATCTAATTAACGAGTATCGTCCGCTACAGGTAATATTTTTCTTAGAATCTCTCATATTTCCAAGTGTTTCGCGTTGTAAGACGCTGTTTATAATTCACGATTTAGGAAATTCAGCGATTCCGCGATTAGACATTTTTTCGTAGAAAAGATCAGGTGCGCACCAGTTCGCCTGTTCAGAGCGATC